CTGGACCTTCAGCAGGAGAGCCAAGAAGGAAGGCAGCCCTCTCTGGCTAGGAACCCTCTTGGACAAGAACACTAGCCTTTGGGGTTCTAGACTATTTATACATTCCCCATCCACCATCTGGACACACCTCTCCAGGGATTGGCTGGGGCTGCATAAATATTCAGGCTGCCTATATGACTTTCCCACTCACATTCTTAAGAAAACTCCAGAAAACAGGGGAGGCAGTCAAACCTTAAACCTGTAGAACCCAGAGCAACCTGAAGCAAACATTTCTGCTCTGTTGATTACAGGTGAGCCCAAAAAAACTAAATTTGCCTTACCAAAAACCTAGGAGGCTGGAAGCATCATGCTACATTATAGAAAAAGCAGGTCTCACTACAATGCTCACCACCTCTTCAGCTCTGTCCCCCACAGTATTTCCTTTTTGTCACAAAATGATCTCAGTCTATCAGGTTGAAGGGGTCCCAGCATTGTTAATCCCAAAGACTGACTACATACTGTGAGTGCAAGGTGTCATAGATCCCTAATCTGAAGAGGTGTCATCACGGTGTCCCTACGCTCACAGTGATGGGGAGCCTCTGGGGGGACCTGGACTTGGGCTTTAAACTTGAATAGCATTCTCTAAGTAGCTACAGGATGGACATATGGGAAATCAGACACCAGAACAAGAGCTCCATATTGAATGCTCCCATTCTGTGTCCCTTTGTATGGTATTAACACTTTAAGGAGAGACAAATTGTTACTTGTTCCATTTAAGTGAATATCAGATTGTTCCTTTCAGAAAGATCAGATGTGGAATTATTTTCCCATTTGTTAGATAGAAAGGCTATAACATTAAGAGACTATCAAATATCCGTCAGTCTGTGAATGATCCTCTTCAGCAGACTTTGTTATCACCATTACTTCTACATTTCCACTTTGTTACGCTGTTTGCCAATTTCCCGATCCTATAGCAGTGACAGAGCCACTTAACTCAACAAGAGCATTGAGTAAACACAGCTCTAATACAAAATAAAGAAAACACATTTGTTTCTAGATGAGTCCTTATGGTAAGTACAGGAATATCAACAGGTGAATCAACATTTAGAGTGCTGTTAGCCACTTATATATAAAGCTGTTTTTGCTGCTTCTTAAAGCATCTCTGGTACTAAAATCCATTTGAGCACCTCTCCCGCTGTCTTACGCCACTAAACACCACTGTAATGAAGAGACCTCGACAGCTGAAGACTCTTCAGAAACCCACATATCCAGGATTGTCCATCTCCTGGTTCTCCACCGAACTCTGTGGTTTGAACTGCTGGCTCCTACGCCACTACTGTGTCTTGCAGTAATGTGAAGGTCAGAAGGTGGTGTCACAATAGCCATAGAAGTCCAGATAGCTGCTATGGGGCCTGGGGTAGAGAGAGGGGCCTCATCAGGAAAACAACTATAAAGTTTCTAGTATAAAAGAATTTTAGTCAGATCTCAGGTTCAGCATTAGTTAAAGATCCACCCTCTGCATAGTAGTGTGTATTATTATTATACAGGATTTATATAGCGCCAACAGTTTGAGCAACGCTTTACAATGTAAGGGAGACAGTACAATTACAATACATTTCAGTACAGAAGGAATAGGAGGGCCCTGCTCGTGGAAGGGGGAGGTGATACAAAAGGTGATAGCTGTGGGGGATGATCTGGCGGAGGTGATTCAAGTACAGTTCTTAGGTAGAGGTGGGGTAGGCTTCCCTGAAGAAGTGTAGCACCCTCCCGAACTCCAGACGCAGGGTGGGACCTCCAGAGACACGGGTGAGCCAGAATTTCACCCTAGAGTTGAGTTCATGGCTAAAAAAAGAGGGGACTGGAAAAAACATTGGGCACCAGTCACATTCTTGGGCACCAGTCACATTCTTTTAGAAGTTTTATTGATCGTCATGAAAGCAGGAGGTTGATAGAGATTCCAAATACCCAGCAGTACACTTACGCACTTCTCCAGACAAATGCCTAGATTCACAGTATCAGAAACTTTAAGCCAACCTGGCAACACTGTAGGCAGCATTTCTTCTGGTTCACAGACCTCTCTCTTGCTGGTTCCAGTGCCCTCTGCACAATTTCCTAGGCTTCCATGCATCTTGTCCAAGAGAGTCACCAGGCCCCTGTGAGAAAATCAGCCTTCATCCACAGCTTTCCCCATCGACTGGCAGGACAGCTTCTCAAACCACTTCAGACCTATCCCAAAGTCCAGAGCACATGGCAGACCCCATACGGGCTATACGCCTAATAGATCTGATCGCTCCAGAAATCTGTAAGAAAAAAACAGATCAAAAGGCCTGCCCCATATATTTATATCCCCCCCAGCATGCACCAGGCACCATGAACCCCCTACTAGGTTGGCTATATTCATACTTTAGATTGACTGTGAAACAGTGAGAAACAGTGACAACAGTGACAAATCACAGCTCCACTGAGTTTAGAGCGAAAGAATGATGATGTGATGAAACCAACTACAAATCCGTCTGGGCTGACTACCACCCAGCACAACTAAATGTAAGTAGTAGTTCCTTTTTAGGACAGGGTGGTACAAAAGAAGAATTTTGTTTTTTGTCTTAAATTGGCCTTATAGTAGATTTTTTTGTGTTGAGAATGTTTGTCCATTTTTATAATTGTTAGGGTTGTGACTCAATCTTCATTTTTGACTGCAGTGATGACCAAATTCGTAGGATTGAACATTTTTCTTGAATGAAGTGTACAGCAGTTCCCGGGTTACAAACAAGATAGGGTCTGTAGGTTTGTTCTTATGTTGAATTTGTATGTAAATTGGAACCGGGGCGGACTGACAACTCATGGGGCCCCCAGGCAATAAGGGATCATGGGGACCCTGTGTCCTTGCCCAAACTCAAAAAAGCCTATGAAAAAGGTACCAAGGGCATCTCATGGGGCCTCCTACTGACCCCGGGCCCTGATACATTTTCTAAGTGTAGCTCCAACTATCCATGTTTTTTGGATGGCATAGGGAAGGGTTAACACCCCTGCAATGATTGTTTTGCTGTCCGTGCCCTTGTTCAGAAGATTTCACCTCACTTTCTGTCTCTGTGACAACTAGATTTTGAAAACTTTGGGTTGTCGTGGAAGCAAGGATTGATGATAAACCTCCAGTGGTGACACCTATTTCCCATGACAACTCTTACAGGAGTGAATTTTCCTTTCTAGGGGTAGATTTCCTCTCACTTCTTGTTTCTCCCTTTGTTGGTAAGTACGAGTCGTTCATAAATCGGGGACTGCTTGTATGTGGTTTTCGTTCAGGAAAGTCCATTCTTCAAAAATCAAATGTTAAAAGCAAACAAAAGTACTTTCAAACGACATTCATCAAGTCAATGAATGTACTGAGAGTTTTCGCATGGATGGTCATATGAAAGGCTACTAGAATGTGACCAGCTTTAGCAGTGTACATTTATTGCTGTCAGAACTTCTGCTACACGCTGAAATTAAAGCCAAGGCTCCATTCACACTAGCAATCGCCACAATTCTAGCCGCGATTTGAAAACGTGCTGTGAAAATGTGAAAATGCGCATTTGCAAGTTTAGGTGCCATTCATTTCAATGGCTCCTGAAAACGTGGGGTGTTTTTGCCATGATTGTGGCACATTTTTCTGTGTGAAAAATGTGTGGCAATAGCGCAAAAAAAATTGCGCAACGCCCAAAAATGGTTCCAGAACTATTTTTGGGTGTTGTGTGTCCTGCGATTGTGTTTGCACGACTGTGGCATGTTTGTTACGTGGAAAAAAACGCCCCTTCATTGTGCAGTTCCCCCTCAGCCCCCCCCCCCCCCAAGACTTACCTGAGCCTGATCTCGATCCAGTGATGTGCTCGAGAGATCCATTGGCTCCCACTGTTGTCAATCACAGCCAGTGAGGAGGGAGTGGGGTCCGGGGCCAAGTCCCATTCTGTGTGTGTTATAGTCACACAGAGGCGGCTCAGGAGTGAGCAGCTTGCTCTGGGGGCAGTCAGCAGGGGGCAGGAGCCAGGAGTGCCGGAAGGGGACCTGTGAAGAGGAGGATCGAGGCTGCTCTGAGCAAGACCATTGCACAGAGCAGGTAAGAATAATGTTTGCCATTTAACCGCCTCCCGCCCGCCATATAGTAAAATGACGGACGCAAGGTGGTTCTCTCGTTCTGGGAGGACGTCATATGACAGTTTGTACTGGGACTTTTAAGGCAACTCCAAACAAATGATATAAACATGTAAATAATGTTATTACAAAATTGTTGTGAAACATCATAGTTTGACATATAACACAAAAGTTAAAATCATACATAGAAGAAAATGGTGAAAATGCCTGGAAACTTGCTATAGGCTGAAAATTGGTATCCACCCCTCTCCTGTGAATCAGAAGAAAGAGAAGGGCGAGTAAACTTCAGCTGAAAAGACCCGACGCCATTCAGAGCAAAAGTCTTTCTTCAGGGGTATGCTGAAGGGGAAGGATGACCAAGAAACATTCTACAGAATATAGTGGGCATGAATAAGAATTGGCAATAGCATCACTAATGATATACAGTCAAAAAACACACATGTATACGTCCTACATACCACTCAGTTTTCTTTTGTAATTTAACTCACCATAATTGTGCAAAAAAGAACAGAAAATGATCTTCTCTTGATGTGCTCACCATCCACACCTCGATGCACCAGGGCTAGATGGGAAGAGGGCTCAGGAGGGGGGGAGGAAGACCAGCCCCCAAAGTGAATTTCTCACACAGGGATCGCCGTGATAAGTAGCCACTTAAGTGGCTAAAATAGCCAAAAAAGAACACAGAATAAATATTTACTACACTGCATACCCTCATGACTTAACCGCCTCCTGTCTGCCATATAGTAATATGACGGACGCAAGACGGTTCTCTCGTTCTGGGATGATGTCATATGATGTCCTCCCATTCTAAATGCGCATGCGCGGCTCCGGGAGCGCGCTGCGATCGGCGGTATGCTGTGTCCCTCGGACACAGCGGATCACCAATCAACGGAAAGAGCCAAAGATGTCGGCTCGGTCATGTGATCAGCTGTGTCCAATCACAGCTGATCACATGTAAACAGGGAAATGCTGGTTATCGGCATTTCTCTCGCCACGAGCTGTCACACTGACAGCTCGTGAGCAGAGGAGAGCCGGTAATCGGCATTCCGCGGAGAGGACATGTACACTGATTATCAGAGCACTGATGATCAGTGTGCCCTGATGATCTGTGTAGCCCCAGCAGCGCTACCTGTCAGTGTCCATCAGTGCCAGCTGTCAGTGCTCATCCATGCCACCTGCCAGTGCCCAGTGCCACATCAGGGCCACATTTCAGTGCCCATCAGTGTCACATCAATGCCACATATCAGTGCCCATCTGAGCTACCTTTCAGTGTCACCCATCAGTGCCAGTCAGTGTCACCTATCAATGCCAGTCAGTACCACCTATCAGTGCCAGTCAGTGCCACCTATCAGTGGCAATTAGTGCCGCCTATCAGTGCCCGTCAGTGCTGCCTATCAGTGCTTGTCAGTGCTGCCTATCAGTGCCACCAAACAGCGCCAGTCAGTGCCACCAAACAGTGCCAGTCAGTGCCGCCTATCAGTGCCATATAGGAGTGCTGACTTTCAGTGCCTATCAGTGATGCCTGTCAATGCCCATCAGTGCCACCTACCAATGCCTCCTCATCAGTGCCCATCAGTGCCACCTATCAGTGTCCATCAGTGCAGCCTATCAGTGCCCATCAGTGCAGCCTCATTAGCGCACATCAGTGAAGGAGAAAAATCACTTATTTACAAAATTTTATATCAAAAACTAAGAAAAATGTTTTTTCAAAATTTTCAGTGGTTTTTGGTTTGCTTACGAAAAATAAAAAACCCAGAGGTAATTAAATACCACCAAAATAAAGCTCTATCTGGCACAAAAAAAAAATGCAGAAAATTTCATATGGGTACAGTGTTGCATGACCGTGCAATTGTCATTCAAAGTGCAACAGCGCTGAAAGCTGGAAATTGGCATGGGCAGGAAGGGAGTATAAGTGCCCTGTAGGCTAGTGGTTAAAACAAAATCTGAATCTTTACTATCACTTTAACCCCATATTTCTAATGCAGTCTTAAATCTCAGATCATTTATTTTATGTATTTCAGGTACTTATATAGTACCATCAATTTATGCAGCGCTTTACATATACAGAGTATATATATATATTGTACATTCACATCAGTCCCTATTCCTCAAGGGGTGTACAATCTAAGGACCCTAACTTACATACACATACGGGGGCCAATTTAGACAGGATCTAATTAACCTACCAGCATGTCTTTGCAGTGTGGGAGGAAACCGGAGTACCCAGAGGAAGCCCACACAGGCACAGGGAGAACATGCAAAATCCAGGCAGGTGGTGCCGTGGTTGGAATTCAAACCGACAACCCTAGTACTGCCAGGTGGAAGTGCTAACCATTTAGCCACTGTGCTGCCCATTATGGCCTTTGTTACTATTACTGCTACTACAACTGTAACATTTTGCCAAAGCATTTGTCCCTATAGGGGACTGACTAAGCCTACAATTCTTCTGCCAGTCCTTAATTTAAGCTGGCCATACAAATATTGTTTTTTTTTTCATTCAACCAGCAGGTTGAAAAATTACCTGATTCCCCCATCTACACATTTGCTGCGTATGGGGGAATCATTCTCACAGTGCTATCATGTTCTGACTGTGGGGAAGCCTTTCCTGCTGTCAGAATAAGTGTTGTTGGCTATAACCGGCGGCACTAATCATTTGGGAAAAACCCAACAGGCTGGTTGTACAGAAGTTGATCGGTAGAACGACCCTGCCCAAACATGGATCAAAATTGGTCCGGCCCCTACTGAACCAGCCGAATTTCAATTCATGTATGGCCACCTTTAGGCAAACTTTATTTTACGACTGATGACACAAGTAGTCATTGTTGAAATGGCTAGCTTCTACAGAGGGAGTTAGCCAGGGAAAAAGGTTCTATACATCCCCATGATTTGTAGATACGCCCCCTGGGTAGAAGGAACCAATGAGCGCAGCAGGACTCTAGGAGGAATCGACACTCCCAGGGGATCGACACTAACAGAAATGTCAGTTTCTACAGTAGGATGTTTCTGTTCATCAGAATGACTGCACCATTTCTGGGGAGCAGAATAGCAGCTTGCCTGCTCTCTGTCTATTGGTGGTCATTACAAGGAGATTATAGCAGTATAAAACAGTTGTTACCTGAATGTCACAAGTATTCATCCAACTGCATGAATGTCCCCTGTGTTTTCTATAATACTTTGACATCCTATGATCATCAGCTCCATCTAGTGGCCAAATGCAGAATATTTTCTAAATGAAGTATTTAAAAAAAAATATACTGCATTTTGTCCACTAGATGGAGCTGGCAATCAGAAGAAGTTATAGTATTAGAGAAAATACAGGGGAAACTCATGCAGTCTAGGAGGAATTGAAAGAAAGGGGGTGCTGTTGCGCTCAGGAAAAAATTAAATGTATGAACATTATACTATATATATGATACCTATATAGCAGCAGTCCTAATTGGGAATTCCTATACACAAAATCTTAAATATTTCAAAATGGACCGGGCTAAGGTCACAAATCAACTAAATCCAATGTGCAATTTAAAGTGATAACAATGAACACAATTCAAATACAATTTTAGTATTCTGTCCCAACATGTGAATAATTAGTGCAATGGTGCTGTGTCTTTAACGGTGAACCGCCATACTGGAATGACAAGTGCTTCACTGCGTTCACACTGGTGCCCCACATTGATGTAAACTCACCGTCATTTCATGACCACCTATCTCTAGGTAAGTCACACTCGGTCAAAAAGAAACACTACTCAAAAATACCGGACGTGACGTCAACGGAAGTTGCGTCATAAGCCTTCGACGTGTTTCGACCAATAGATCCTGAAGACGATCTATTGGCCGAAACGTGTCGAGGGTTTATGACGCAACTTTCGCTGACGTCACTTCCGGTATTTGGAACGCATGCTGGAATGCGGCGGCCATCTTAATTTCCATTCATAATATACAAAGCTGAATACGCCCAGTGCTAGGAAAGGTACTTTTTTGTGAGTGGCATTTTTATTGTTTGACCCCATTATTAAAGTTCTGTACGGTTTTACACTATGGGATGTTTGGTTTTGTTTTAATTTATGCTGAAAATATGAATTACTACCTGTGGAGGAGAGGAGCTTTCTAATAATAATAATGCAGCCCTAGTGGAGGGTTATCGGTTACTACCAGCAACCACGGTTAAGAGGGTGAAGGAATATCAGCCATCAGGACCGGATTACAAACTGGGATAGTCCCAAAAGCGAGTGTGACTTACCTAGAGATAGGTGGTCATGAGATGACGGTGAGTTTACATCTATGTGGGGCACCAGTGTGAACACAGTGAAGTACTTGTCATTCCAGTATGGAGGTTCACTGTTAAAGATACAGCACCATTGCACTAATTATTCACATGTTGGGACTGAATACTAATATTGTATTTGAATTGTGTTCATTGTTATCACTTTAAATTGCACATTGGATTTAGTTGATTTGTGACCTAAGCGCAGTCCATTTTGAAATATTTAGTCCAGGAGGAATACTTGTGACATTCGTCCAATGAATGTTTTATAAGTATACCCCATAGTGACTTTTCACTGGGCACATATTTGGAGTTATTACTGCACTGCAAAGTATACTTATCAGTTTGCCCCCTCTGCAGCACTCCAAATTGTTATATGTACCCAGATCTCGGTCCGAGGCTCTCGGCATTGTTCATATCCCTCCGCTAGCTTCTGTATTCTGTTGTTCACGCTTGTGCAGTTCTTCTATGGGGCAGGTAGACAAAATTGGCTTCTATCTGTTTAGTATGTAGAAAGCAACGTTTAATGTGGTTGTAAAAAAAAGGGTTTTTACCTAAAAGCATTCTCTTTATTACCGTAAACAACTTTTTTTGGTGCAGCTTACCCCCGCCCCCCCCATAATATTTACCTGAACCCGATTTCAATCCAGCGCTGTGCTTGAGAGCAGCAGGCTGCTTTCTCTCTCTCTCCCTGCTCACAGGATTCAGTGAGAGCAAAGGGAGACATTGACTCCTGCTGCTGTCAATTAAATCCAGTGATGAGTGAGTAGGGGGCGGAGCCAAGTTGCTCTGTGTGTGTCAATAGACGCACACAGTGTGGCTTGGGATCAATCTTGCACCAGTAGCATCCCCTATTAAGCGGCTTGCTAGGGGGGGGGGTTGATTGAAGGTAGGAGGAAGCACTGGCAGGGGACCCCAGAAGAGGAGAACCAGGGCTACTTTGTGCAAAAGCAGGTAAGTATAACTTATTTGTCATTTAAAAAAAAAAAAACGATCCTTTAAAATCACTTTAAACTCCTGTTCCAGACACTTGTGTCAGGTCAGTGACTCAGGAATGACTGAATCCAGTCACCAGCATTTTCACTAGCAGAGGTCACCCCATATTCCTATGAGTGCCGGATTATTTGAAGTCAGAAAACAGAAATCTTATTAGCTGCCCAGGGGTTACTGCCCTTTGCACCGCCTGATTCAATAAGCCCAAATTGGAAAACAGAGCAGTCTGTAAGCTCCTCCGCGGGTGAGATGACAAATATGTAGGTTATGAAGCTAGCCATAAAAAATAGTGATGTCCCATTTTATTGAGCAGACTGCCAGCTTACAAAGGTCTCTGCAGATGATTAATAGATGGAGAAGAACAGGTGACATCATAAAAAAGCTTGTTACAATCACAGGTCACATAGAACAAACCTTTTTTAAAATACCATGGGCCAGCGTAAGCTGCTAAAACACGTATTAGCTTTACAGGGAGATGGCACAGTTCAGGAATCCTTAGATTGAAGTTCTGTACAGTGGCCCAGATACATTTATCATGCTGGGAACAGTGTGATTTAATTGCACACAGAGCGCCATCTATGGGCCACTTTGAATAAAACATGCTAAAAGCGTATCTAAGCCCAAAAACAAAAATGTATTCTATGGCAACTTGCCAGTTCTTAGATGTGGTGACTGCATTCATTTTCTATTTTTTTTTTCAAGTTTTTTTCCCTTTATTTTCCCCAGGTGATTCTGCCAGTAACACATTTGCTGTCTAATGCTTTATTTACGTGGTTGGCCATCTGCAACAATCAGCAATTCTTGCCGGCGGAGGAAGTAGCTGCATGCACACGGTAGTGGCGCAGCTAGATTTGTACCTTGTTCAAGAATCAATGGCTTGCTCTGCTGCTGTTCAGTGGAGTGGTCACTTGCGATTAGGGACTCTGAGCAGCCCTGGATGCAGAAAGTTTGCCGGTGTTTCTGGCTGCATACAAATTGTCAGAGTGCTGCTGCATCCAGAGGTGGCATTTAGCAACCTTTCTGCCCTCAAGGATGACATTGCTCACACAACGCGTAAAGCAAATTTGTACATTTA